AGGGATTCTAGGGATATTACAATTTTATCCAGCCATCGTCAGTAATTTTATTATTTGCATTTTTGATACAATAAAATTAAAATAAACAAAGGGTTTACAGGACGTATTGGAAATAAAAATGCGAAATTTACCGAATTTTTCAAATTTACCTTGATTTTTATTGAACTCAAAAAAATACACACATTTTTTTTTATTCTAAACTGTGAATTAAAAAAAAAGATAAAACCATTTTTACTTAATAAAGGGTATGGTCTCCTCTACTGTTCATTATCATTTCCTGATCAGGTTGTCGATCTCTTCTTGAGGTACAGCCTGCCACGCTGCATTCACGGCCCGAACCAGATCCCTACGAGTTTCACGAGGCATACCCATTCTCAAAATTCTTCTTTGGACCGCGTCCCATACGTGCTCGATGGGGTTGAGGTCAGGAGATTGTGCCGACCAGGGTAAGATGTTTAATTGATGAGCATTGATAAACTCACTTACCACTCTGGCTGTATGAGGCCGTGCATTGTCATGCATGAGAATGAAGTTTCTCCCAAAATCATTGGCATATGGTAACACGACAGGCTCAAGAATTAAATCACGATATGTGATTCCTGTTAGAAACCTTTCAAGAAAAACGAGATCGGTTTTTCGGCCTAATTGGACTGCTCCCCAGACCATAACTGTTCCACCTTGATAAGGGTGCACTTCCTGAACATGATCCAACCGAATAAGATTTCCCGGTTCTCTCCATACCCTAAGCCTTCTCGAATCCGGATGTAATCCAAAGCGTGACTCATCCGTGAAGAGAACATTGGCCCAATGTTCATTCGACCACTGAACATGATCTTGAGCCCACAAATATTGTACCTCTCGATTTCCTCTCGTTAAGGTTGAGCTCTCCAGGGCGTCTGCTTCTTAAGTTGACCTCTCTTAATCTATTGCGAACAGTGTCAAGACTAACGGTTACATTATGTGTTTCCTGGAGAATTAAACTAAGCTCTGGTGCTGTAAGAGTCGGTCGGCGTCGATCATTTAATTGTAAAAAATGATCTTGCTGAGGGGTAGTAATGCGATGTCGCCCTGTGTGCCTTTCAGCAACATCACCACTTTTACGGTAGCGTGCACTTAATCGCGATATTACACTTTGCGTTGTATTTAATGCCCTAGCTACGTCGATTTGGCGCATTCCAGCTTCGAGCATACCCATGGCTTTTAGCATTTCGTCTCTGTTAAGATGTCTACGCTCCATAATGTCGTTTAATACTAAACAGAGTTATTTGAATGAATTCTGGCCAGTTCTCATAAAAACATAGCCAGTACAGGTTAAATTCGAACAATTGATGCTAGGTGCTTTTTATACATTTGAGAAAAAATGCACAAACACTTCTGCAAATATCCCAAATTTAGAAATAACTAGTGTGACTACTTCGTTTCAATCGAAGTAGGAAGAATCGGCTTACAAATATGTGGTTGTTTATTCAAAACATTTATTTTTAACTTTAATAAAATGATATCCCTAGATTTTTCCGGTGTGTGTATTTTAAATTGTATAATTCTTTGTCAATTCTTAGATGTCGTCTATCGAAATCTTCCCTGACTCTTTGGATAGACCACAGGGATAGTCTTTGTATCTCTTTGTCCACAGTAGATGTTAACGCCACTGGTGGCGAACAGATAACTATCATAAATTTTCCATACAACAAAAGCAAAGAAATTTAATCGATTAATCGAACAATTGTCGATAGCGAATGATATTGTTTTGTTTTGGTACGTATTCCAATTAACAATTATTATTATTCTTCGAATCAACGACCAGCGGCGAATAATAAAACAAGCAGGAAACGAAAGAAAAATTGTTGTGCGTTACGTCACTGCAGAAATGGGCTCCTTACATGCTTTATTCAGTGAAAATTACCAGTCCATGGTGTTACGCTTTTGATTTTCAAGTATTTCGAGTCGTCATGGGCGGTAACACCCCGACGCAAAGAAATCTGCTTTTAATTTTGTGACGAAGAATTTAAAAATTTCTTAGTCGGATAACTTTTAAGTAATTCTGTATATTTTTTAAATCTAAATGCAGAATACAGTCCAGTAGTTTTTGATTACCGGAACAAAATAAAATAATTCGACAAAAAATTTAACAAATCTACTACAATACACTAAAATACTTACTTTTAAACTTTGTATATGTTACAGTATAAGTTGGAAATCAGTGATTGTTAACTATTATTTGCTATTACTAGTAAAAGCGCTCACATTCACTGATTTGCTAAGACTACGCCAGTAAAAGTTAAACATCTATTTTTGAAACCAACTTTTACTAGCAAAATAAAACACTAATCACCACAATACACCAAAACACTTTTACTTTTACACTGGACGCGCGTTTCGCTAACCATGTTAGCATCATCAGCAGATGATTAAAAAATTTTCACATTCTTAAGTTTTTTTCAACTAATAGAATTATATCAATTCTCTCTGATTTAATATAGGATATAAGTTAGCATTTTCGGCAAATTTCTGAGAATTTTTTTTCTTTTAACTGATACAAAATGATAAAGTGGGACTAATTAGACAGCTATGTTGAAGTAACGTCAGACCATATCACAGCCACCTAGATTTGATCAAATAATAAAAATCTACTCAGATCAAATCATGTCAATGAAAATATCTAGGAAAATCTTTATTTGAGGTGTAGGCAACCTTAATAGTATTTGGAAGAGACATGAATTCTCCATTGAATACCGGAATAATATACTGGGTGTTCCATTTAAAATAAAAGAGTAATATGCTTTTAAAGGTGACCAATGTTCAATATTAATTTTGTCTCACCCTGTATAACTTTTGGATCAAGTTTTAATTTGATTTAAAGTACAATAGTTAATTTAACTACAAATTAGGCTACACCAGGTAAATTCCAATAATTTAGGTAGTTGTTATTGTAATTTAAAAATTGTTCTTTATTTCTAGAAAATGTTAAATATGTCAAAAACCTTACATCTTAGTCATATACTTCTCTTATAAAACTCACCTTTATTTTTCTCTCAGAATCCGAAAATCAATTAATATATAGGGTGTTCCGTTACAAAAAAACACAACTTTGATATGTAATGTATGTCCCCTTTTTTTGGGGATACCCTGTAGAACTATCTATATTTTTAAAAAGTGCTCGGAATTAACACCTACATATGCTCACAAAATTTTATTTCAATACAAACTGTCGTTTTCCTTGGAGCCTCCGCGGCGTATGAGAGGCGCCACCCTGTACATATAATGAGTAATATTAAAAAATACTGAAACTGGATTCCTATTCTTTCCGTTTAGAATCAATATTTATTTTATTTTTCAATTTGTTACTGTCAAAATTCTGTTCTAGAAAGATTAATAATATTCTTTATTCCATTAAATGCTAAATAATAACATACTTTTTTCAGAACTTTACAATACCAATCCAAGGAAAACTTAATTATTTTTCGATTATGTCGAAAAAAGAAAAAATTACGTTGTCCACGAAATGGAAACACGCACCTCCAGCACTTATTAACTATGTTTATCTAATGATGTAATATAGTTCCAACTCCACGAACAAGGAAAATTGACTAGTAATTTGTCTTTTAACGAAATGAACTAGTCCCGTAAGTTCGTTTTTAGAACATGCTGTGTGTTCTCTTGCAAAAATTAAATTTCACTTTTGCCATACCTACAAAACAAAAATAACAATGGCCGTAATTAAAAGAGTTGCAAATCACTATATCACGCCATAACAATATGGCAAATATCAGTGTAATCAGGATAATTTTATTATCCAATGACAAAAACGATAACATTAGTATGATTTTTAATATACAAGGCGTTCGACAAAATGTGCGGATAAATTTCAGAGGATGATTCCCCATCAAAAAATATCGAGTCCGGAGATGCATAGTTTTAAAGATTGTAATTTCACTACCATTATTTTTTTAATTTGATGTAGGTGGCACTGACTATCAATTTTATAAATTGTAATTTACTATTTTGTACTTCTTCTGCTGCATATCCACTATGTTCAAGATCACATTTGTCCACTTTTTTTATTTCGTATTGTATGGAGTATGGAGTAGACCTTCCATTGTTCTCAGTCCCATCCACTCTCTGACGTCATGACATCCTTTTCCTGCGGACTCCTCTCTTTCCCTCAATCTTTCTTTCAATCATCTGATACAATCTAAGTATCTTCAGCATCCGACGAAATAACTACATTTTAATGGTTTCAGCTTTCCTCATTGTGGTCACTTTTAGGGTCCAGAATTCCATTCCAGCATTTGACAATACGATAATTTTGGAAAGTAACCTTTTTTGTCTTTTAAAAATAATTTTCTACTTTTCTAGAACTGTTGATTATGTACTTTTTGAGTCGCACCTCAGATATGCCCTTCCATTCTTGGATACGTTCTGTGCGACTCAATTTGACCGCATTTTCAAGCTCCAGAAGAGAGCTGTTCGATATTCACTGAGACTAAACAGCAGAACTCATTTCCAGGACTTTTTTAAAAAATTAAAAATATTTACTCTTCCTTTCTTATTTATATTTGAATCTGTTTGCCTAATACGTAAGCATGTATCAGCTTCTCGAGAAAGGCCATCTCACACTTATCCACTCAGGAACGCGGAGCAAGATCTTTATCTACCTACCCCACGCTCAAAGTTAGTTAAAAGTTCAGTATTATACAACTCTATAACATAATCAAATCTATAACATAATTATCTTCATTTTGATAATCGAATTTGATCCTGTAAACACTGGTCTAATATTTGCTATTACTATATTTACTATAAACTTACTAAATATTTTTGAATCTTATTTTTATTTTTTTATTCTTTGACACTGTAAACATTTATAAATGTTTATTTTAAACAATAAGACTGACAATGTAATTTGTATACTTGTTTTGTATTCACTTTTGTTTGTTTACTTTACCTTTGTCTACAAATTTTAAAAAATTTTTGACAATAAAGGCATTTATTTATTTCAGCCCGAAAATGTAGCCGTTTTCAGTTCGAATGCAGATCGACAGGCGAATGCATCGCCATATATAATGCTTGTGATGGAATACCACAATGTGCCGATGGCAGTGATGAAGCTCATGAATTAGGTTGTCCTGCAGTTGAAGCTGTAGCTAGTAAGTATCTTATGTGTCTTAGCAAAGGTATATTCATATTATAAACATTATTTTAGGTGCTGCAGCTCAAACTTCTCCACCAGTAACAACCAAAAAAGCACCAGCCAGTGTGCAACCTCCACAACCAAATATACCACTATACGGAAGAGAAGGTGAACTGGTAAGACAAATTTATTTAATAATTTAAAGAAATTATATTTATGTTTTCAAAAAATATACAAAAACAAAGATATTGTTATACAAAAACAACTACTGGCGTTTCTTGTAGTTCACTCTCGGTCTTATATCCTCCGTCCATAGCTACTATAATGATTTCATAGCTTTTACAACCATTAAATTGGTTTAAAATAATATAATCTTCGGATAATTCTGGTAAGGTCTCAGTCCATTCCTTCTGACCTTTTATTCGATACTTAATATAAAAATACTCTCCAGGATTATGGTCGACGTCTGGGATCCATTTGATTAGAGTTTTAACAAAACAGTGCTCTTCGGTTTTTGGCTACAAAAAATTATGAAAAGTAATTAATATTGTTTTTGCTATTACTGTAGGTACCTAAAGTTTATAGCATTCAATGATTATAGTAGTTAAAAAATGATGATGATGATGATTACTAGGTAATAAAAAAAAACATTGGCAACAGGTTCCAGAGGTCTCACACCAGTAAGACTTTTTGATCAATATCTTTTAGATATCCTATCTATGGTTCTATATGAAATACACTGCAAATATACTTTTATGAGATCAAAATGCAAATTTTGCTGATAACATGCAGTAATATTAATAAAAATAAGCAAAGAAAATTTAGTTATGGCAATTATTATAAGGAAGAAAAATAAATAATTTCTAATTCTTTATGATATAATCTATACTAATATATAAAATCTTTAAGTGACTGACATACTGATTAATCACGATCCTGCTCAAACCACTTAACGTAAGAAGCTCAATTTTGGCATACAGGTTGATTCTAGGGTGTAGAGGTTCGAAAAATCTGGTTTTGAAAAAGTTTGTTTCGAAAAATCTGGTCTTTGATTAATCACGATCCTGCTTAAAGCGCTTGACGTAAAAAGCTGATTTTTGGAAAACAGATTGACTTTAGGGTGTAGAGGTTCGATAAGAAGGGATTTTTCGAAACTCGAATTCTAAGGGGGTGAAACTATCCCAAATAATGTAATACATTTTACATTTATGAAGAACATAATAATTAATGTGATTATACATATTATTGTGATTACATCGCTAACGTAGACAAAACGAAGGTCCTACAAATTGACTGTAAGTTATAAGAATCTTTATCTTTTTAATATTTTTTATAATTTGAATTTTCGTGCCTTATATTTTACAATAGACTCGAAATGTTAATATTTTTTGCAAATTCTTGTGAAAATGTAAAGTTTATGTTTTTGTTTTATATTTGAAAAAGTTGTATATTTTTAAGATGTTTCTTGTTGTTCCTATTATTAATATTATAGTATACATAATTATTTTTTGTACCTCTTGATGAATAATGCTTTTATTTCGTTTGTCATAATTGTTAATTAGAATCTTTAGATTAGTATAATTAGTCTTAAAATTAGTATCTTTTATCAGAATGTTAGTTAAAATTTGTACGGTCTGCAAAAGAAAACTGGAACAATCTAGGAATCTAAAGGCACCCTAATTTTTGACAGTACTTAAAATGCATTCAATTTGTCAAAATTAATGCTATTAGTTCCCTAGATTATCCCAGTTTTTTTTGCCTGCGACCGTACCTATTAAAGAGCAATACGTTTTCGTTTATTTGATTTTTTTGTTTTTATATCTGTTATGTCCAGAAATTATTGTTTATTTTACCGATGGAAATAAATGTATTTGATTTTAATAACGCTTATTAATTAAACATCCTTTTTACAAAATACACAATCCATAAGTAAACTGTCCTCGTCTAAAAGGCCAGTTGACGCAAGCGCGGTAATAAACTCTTATCAAACTTGTTACCGTTTTGCAGTACAGCGTTGACGCGTCTTGCTTTTGTTAGTTTGTCTATGATCAGGATCCTGCTCAAACCACTTAACGTAAGAAGCTCAATTTTGGCATACAGGTTGATTCTAGGGTGTAGAGGTTCGATAAGAAGGGATTTTTCGAAATTCCAGTTCCAAGAGGGTGAAACCACCCCTCAAATATTACAATATTTTCCGAAAAAACGCTTAAACACGTATATATTATTTTGTTTTTTTTTTACATATTTTAACATTTGTTTCGAAAAATCTGGTCTTTGATTAATCACGATCCTGCTTAAAGCGCTTGACGTAAAAAGCTGATTTTTGGAAAACAGATTGACTTTAGGGTGTAGAGGTTCGATAAGAAGGGATTTTTCGAAACTCGAATTCTAAGGGGGTGAAACTATCCCTCAAATATTAAAATATTTTATATTTAAAAACCGGTGAGTCTTTCGGAAAAACTCTTAAACACGTATATTTTATTTTGTTGTTTTACATATTTTAAGATTTTTTATAAATTTATACAGGGTGTTTCATAAAATATGACCATTGAGTAATCACGATTCTGCTTAAACTGCTTGACGTTTAACGCTTGCTGATTTTTGGCAAACGGATTGACTGTGGGGTGTAGAGGTTCGAGAAGGAGGGGTTTCTCGAATCTCAAATTCCAAGAGGGTGAAAACGCCCCTCAAATATTACAATATTTGTTATTTAAAAAAAGGTTAGTCTTTCGGGAAAACGCTTGGACAACGCTTTTTTACATATTTTGAATTTTTTTAAAAAATCATACAGGGTGTTCCAAAAAGCTTATTTTAAAACTTAAGCTTTTTTAAACTGCTTGACGTAAAAAGCTTATTTTTGGCAAACGGATTTTTCGAAAGTCAAATTCCAACGAGATGAAACTACCCCTCAAATATTACTATTACCAATAAGTTATATAATAATATCGCCATATTGTTTTTTCTCATGCTGACATAAATGTGAGAAAATTTTATCCAGTTTGTATGTTAATGGAAATTCTTGCTTTGCTTTATCATCACCATTACAAATGATTAATTCGACGCGAACGAAGTCGCTGGTACACGCTAGTAAATAATAAATACCTCATTTATGTTTTCTGATGGTAAAGTAGTTGACTTGGGTGTCAGTATTTTATCATCCGTTTCATTCAAAACGTAGAAATCATCATCAAACATGTCTATTTTCATAGTCGTTTGTGGAACGTATGGGTATCTTGGTTTGGAGCATTCCTTCTCGAAAAAGTCGTTTTTATTTGTGATGTTGTAATTGATTTTGTATTTAAACGAAGGCATAGATGGTGGATAGGGTTGATGGTATTCCAATTCCACAAAAAGAGTATTACTATAAAAGAAATTAATTAAACATATAAAAATATTTCTATTGTGTGATGGAAAAAAATGTTTTAAATCTATAAATTAAACATAACAGATTCAAGGATGAAAGTAGAAAAATACAAGGCTAAACGTAGAACCTATATATTTTTGGAATCGTTATGCATGTGTAGGTGGATTGCGGTAAATATATTATTATTGAGAAAATTAATTTCGAATGTAAATTAATGTTATATGTGGGATTCTGTTAAGATATCAATGAGTTAAGTATCGAAAAAATTAAATAATCCTACTTACTATCAGACCATCAGTTGCTCTTAAATTGAAATGTAAATCCCTAGATATTAATTTAGTAAATATATCAAAAATATTCTTTAAATAATTAAAGTTAATAAATATTTGATCTTTTACTATTAATTTTTAGGTTTTGTTATATTATTATTTTTTCGGTATATATTTAGACAGGGTGGTCCGAACTGTATTCAATAAACTTTGGCAGCATATTCTGCAGATGAAAATAAGTAAAAAAGTTTGTATAAATGTATATCTTAAAATGCTTAGTTTCGGAGATACAGGGTGTAGAAGTTTCATTTTTATTTTTTGTTTTTTCCAAATAATTTATAAAGTAACGTCAATATTTGGATGAAAAATGGTGTCTGGGAGTTTTGTGACATGAGAAATTTAATTTTGATGTCAATATGACTCCTACTTGTATGTAGAGGGCGCCACCTAATACCTGTCATCATTGACATAAATTAAACACGTTGACTAATTAGTTATTAAATTGAAATCACACATTTGAAATATTTTTGTGCCAAAAGTTCAACAAAAACTTTTTTATCATCATTTTTTCAAAGACAAATTTATGATTAATTTAAAAAAAATAAAAAGTTCCCAAATTTACTATTTCAGTCAAATAACTATCTACTCAACATGTTTATTTTTTGTTAATAATGATATGTATTGACTATTTTCAGTCTAAATATGTCGAGAACGGTTGCTCGTAGCCATTTTTATCCAAATATCACGCAAATGTATATTTTTCACCCAGTAGTTTTATACAGTTACGGACAAAAAGTTATTACTCTTAAAAACAGTTAAAACGCATGTAGGTGGCGCCCTCTGCAAATAGGAGTCATATTGACATCAAAATCAAATTTCTCATATCAAAAAACTCCCAGACACAAAAAATCGAAATAAAAATGAAACTTCTACACCCTGTATCTTCGAAACTAAGCATTTTAGGACATACATTTATACGAACTTTTTTACTTATTTTTATCTGTCGAAGTTTCCGGAATACAGTTCAGACCACCCTGTATATAATAATAATAATAATAATCGTCTTTATTGAAGAAAAAGATGTGTAACATTACATATATTACACATCATGTAACAAGGGTGGTGAAATTTAACAAAAAATGTTATTCTTATATTTAACCACCCATAGCTGCACAGTTGTGTTGACAGCATTAAGATACAATAAAACATGAAATACACACAAAAAAGATAAAATATTACTATTTTAAATATGATATTTTTTTAATAATAGAGTATGTTTTTTCTTGGTTGCAGAAAATTTATTCTAAACTTACTGTTCTCCTTCTCCAGCACAATTAACAGCAGCTATTTCAATTTGATACTTCTGGCCCTCTTTTAACCCCGTTATTTTGGCCTGGGTGTTATCGGCCCCCTGTATAAATTCATGCACGGTGGTTTTTTCGTTTATGCCATAATCGATGGCTTCGCTGCAGTATAAGTTGTAGCCCAATAAGATTCCGTTGGGGTGAGACGGTTTGCTCCATTGTAGAAGAGCGGATTTTGATCCAAGTTGGTTCTGTTCGAACAAATAGGGCATTCCGGGTTCTGAAAATGGAAACCAAAGCTGTAGAAAGATAATATTGCAAATTTGAGTAGATTTCTAACTATACCGGAATAATGAGACAAGAAAATCAGCAGAAAGAAGAACTTTGAATGTATTTGAAAGACAAGAATAATGAATGGGCTCTTTCACAAAAAATAAAATACCCAATTCAAGGACAAAATCTGAAATAGAAGACTATTTTCAGTATATTTATCCAAAAAAAAAATAGTTCCATGACATTGAATATTTTTTTATAGGCCCTCAAAATTGCTTTAATTTGAAATAATTTTAAAGTGCCAATTGATGAGGTATGAAAAATACGCCCAATCGCATTGCAGAACCGTGCTCGTGCGCCGGCCAACAACTGGCAACATTGCGATTTGATTTGACCAGGACCACCTCAACTCAAGGCTAATCAACATGATATGGGCAGGGCAAATATGGCGGCGAAGGCAGCGCATTATTAAATTGTTTACCTTTAACCTGAAAAGCCGGTAGTGGTTTCTCGTTCCGATTGCATACAAGAAATAATTAATTATCTCTAGTTTGTTGTGCTTCTGCAACACGTTTGTTTAGTTCTTAGTGTTCAGTGCATGGTGTGACCAGAAAATTGTGATAAAATAACAGTGTAATAAAAATCCAAACCAAACATTCCACATATGGAACTTCAAATTTTTATGCTTGTCGTACTCTATTATTAATTATTTTAAGGTAAGAACTAGAAGTATTTATCATGATATTACACCTAAATGAGTAAAAAGCCTTCGCCGCCAGTCTGCATAGTACTTTATAATGGTTACTTACAATAATCAAAAGATAGGTATTAAAGGGTAGGTATTAAAGAGAAAGAGTAAAGAAAACTAAGCTAAGCGTAAGTTTTACTTACGAACCCCCAAAAAGGTATTTAGTTTTTTTTTCTATATAAAATCTTGAAACACATATTATATTCTTAATTTATCCTCACCTATTATAGTTTAAATTTATTCCCATTTGTGTAATGCTGCAAAACATGGAAACATTATTCCATATTTTTTGACCCAAGCCAGTGTGGTTTACAATTCCAAGAGCATTTACCAAGGCTTTTACTAAGACCAGTAAGTGTCCATAATAGTATATATTTATCAAACGTTCAGTAAATTCTAAACTATGGTAGGTAAGTGTTTGCAATTGAATATTTAGTTTATATCGCTATTTTCTGTCATATGTTTCTGGTTATTTCTTTTTCCGATGATTTTGAACACCCCTATATGCTACCTCAAGTTTGAATATTTTAACACTACCTATTTTCTGAGAAAGCAGACCTTTTTATAAAAAGTAACTAACTGATGTTTTCATAAAAGTAATAATACAAAAAATGCCATACTTATGTGGAGAACTTTACACTCCCTGTATATTAAAAAATTAGTGAAATATTACGTAATCTAACCCGACATTTGTTTGAAAAATGTCTATTTGGAAATAAAACAGATTTTAAAATACGCGCCAAATAAAGAACTTCTATCTCCGCCATATTGGAAAAGGTTGAATAGCCTTGTGTGGAGGTGGTGGTGGGTCAGCATGGTGGCCCGGCCGCGGCCGTGTTGCCGCTTTTCAACATGCCAGGTGTGACGTATTAAAAATAAAGTGCGGATTTTTATTCCAGGCTTTTTTGTTTTTATTTATTTTCTTAAGAACGGCAGAAAATTCTAGAATTAATTGCTTTATTCAATTATGCTAATTCCAAAATATAGTGAAAGAGCTCATTGTTTGTAAAAAAAGAGTATTATAGATAAAAAAAAAACAAACGTTCACATCAGGAGCATGATTACATAGCAGCAGCAACTCCTAAATTCTTAAAATCTAGTAAATGTAATCCGTTAACGGAATATGTATACTATTAAAGCTAAATCATTACTATTTCTTTATTGTGAGGTCTGGTCTATTTTTTTAAATATTGGCACATCTATTGATATAGTCTGTGAAACGAATAACTTTGAATTTGACAGTTCCCGCGGGCTTTTCTAGTGTTAATTTTATTAGGTTAGCTACTTGCGGCCATGCTGACGCAATGCCGTCTCTAATAGAACAGCCTCGGAACGAGATTTATGACGTCACGCCACACAGTGCTTCGTCCCATGGACAAAAATCGAAAAAAAAGTTAAAATTTACTAATATCTGAATATGTAATTTTATACTTATAGCAATGTTCAACCATCCTGTATATTATTTTTCATAAACAGCGTTTTTTGTTAGCAAATATTTTCACTAAAAATAAATTTTGCGATCATTATCTTATATCAGGGAAAAGAATAACATTCATAGTAGTTCTGTATATTATGGAGTTAAACGGTACGTACTTAATTGAAAGTCACTATGGATATTGTTAAACAAGGTATGTACTTTAAATGTATTTCTAAACAAGTTCGTTATTGTTTAGTTTTTATTTATTTTTTAAGATGATTCTTAAATGGGTATAAAAACTTTACGTTTTCAAACTTCAAAAAGGCATTAAAAAACATATCAAAACATATCGTATTTATTGAATATTTTTGTTTGCCATATCCATACACTTTTAATTTTTGCATAGTTCACCTGCGTCTGCTTGCGACGAACTTTATTTTATAATACTTTTCAGATGGAGTAAAATTGATAAGCAATGCCGATCTGGTTAATACTTGGCTTGATCATAAGGACAAGAACTCAAAATTATTTATATTTCAAAAATGTGTTCTTTATTAGATATTGATGAACCGTCCAGTCCAATGAGATAACCACTTGTGCCTGAGCCCACTATGTTGGAGCAGAAACGTGGCATAAAAAATGTTCCCATCTTTCAATTTATTATAAAACCTCATACCCAAGAAAACGAAAAAATAATATATGGATATGGTCTATTAAAGAGGTAACTATTAACATCCGAACCCCTCATACCAACAAAAAGAACAGTAACAACGCGAAAAAGTAACATATTAGAAAATGATGTACAGAAATATCTTATATGTGAGGATATTTCATCTACCTGTGATTTGGATAGTATAAATTTGGAAGATTCTGTCAGCAATGATTCTTTTGAATCAGAGTAGTTACGATCTATGCATTTTGTTGTCCTAAAGTAACTTTATAGTATCTTAAGTTTTTTTTTAAATTAAATATAGCATTAATGTTTCTTTTTCATTAAAGAAAAACATTTTTATCTTATATTAGGTATATATTGTAGGAATCATGTTCTAATGTTATTCCAATTCTTTTTTATCACAGGAATTTATTTAATACTTACACCGTTTTCATACTATAAATTATTATTTCCTTAGATGGAACAGAGCTCCAACATTTTTATTATTTATAAGATTTTTTTTCATAAACGTGGGACTAAGCACATCATCATTTAGTACAATGAGAGTACTCATCATTTGTGTCAAATAAACCTAGTTTGAATAAATTGCCTACAATAAAAGAGAAGTTTTGCATTTTTGTCCTCTAGAGCCATATGTTCGAAGCACTGTGCGCCAGTTAGATACTACGGATTAATAAATATGTATTAATAAATAAATATATATGTCCGAAATGCGGTAAAACCTAGAATAAGCGCGGTAAACCTAGGATTTACCAAAAGCATTAACTAATTAGGTTAGCCTGGTTATTTAGAGGGTGTTAATGCATTGGTTAGCCTGGTTATTTGGAGGGTCTTAATGCATTGGTTGGCCTGGTTATTTGGGGAGTAATGCATTGGTTAGATAGTTATTTGGTGGGGTTGGTTGGTTTTTACTACCACTTGTTTTTGGTAAATCCTAGGTTTTACCGTATTTCGAGCATTTACAGTAACATATATATTTAGAATATTTTATATGTAATTTTTTGGATTATATTCGACACTATTTTTTTTCATATGACACAACACTGATGAAGGCTATAATGTTAGCCGAAACCAAAAATACGAGAAATAATTATGTTTTCCATGTATTCTACAACATATTTATTAATCCGTAGTATCTAACTAGCTTGACGTCATAAATCTCGCTCCGAGGCTGTTCTATTAGAGACGGCATTGGTTTGTTATTTACAAATGTCAAGAGCTGATGACATTTTACCTTTGACAATTATGTCATTTCGTGTTGATTTTTGCAAAAAGAGGAAGAACTGTCACTTGTTTTATTATTTTCCTTTTCTATTTCACGAAAGTAAAAAGAGTTACCTATCTGATTCGTTCAGGCACTCAATTTAATTTAAAGAATATCAGTAACTTTTTTGATAGAGGGATTTTATATTTGCCATGTTGGTAAAAAATAACGGTCGAAATTCAAAGTTATTCATTTTATAGACTATAGTTGATTACCTGTTTGAGGAGCGTCGAAGCTAACAGCTGCGCTTCTTGGACCCACATACTTGTCATTTCTTACTGACACTGTTATGAAATTTTTGGAATAAGGAAAAAATTGAACTGCCGTCTTTGTCACATCGGGAGCAACCGCATAAACCTGACTTAAGCCGTGGTTCCATATACGGACGATGTAACCCCTGAAAAATCCAGAAATTATTTTAAACTGCAATAAAAACTATAATTGAATTGAAAGAGAGGTACTAACCTGAAAGTGCCTCGAACTGATTCAGGCGATACAGCTTCCCATTTAATGATGACATCTTTGTCGTCAAAATTTAATAGTGTCAGATTTTCTGGAGCCTGTAATGGTATCAATTCACCTGAAAGAAAAGGTACTTTTTATACTGTAATGAACAGAATTTAATGGGCATGTAGATCCAAATTACTGATTTTATACTTTATTTGTTATATTTTTCTCAAAATATTTAATTAAGTATCAGATATAAAATGGGTATTTCACATTTTTATAAAATTCTTCGTTGTTTATGATCGTGAAAATCTTCCTCTATTTTTAAGAACGACCTATTAACAGTTTAACAGATTGAGAATTTTTAACTATGTTTGAAAAGCGTACAAAACATCTTGAGCCAAATCGAGATCGGTTCAACACAGTTTTTTACTTATTACTTATTCTATTCAAATATGCCATGAACATGCATTTTATGAAGTATTTGTACTAGTGGAAAAACTGTTTGCTTCCAATTAGCTTTTTAGCAAACTGCGTGCTATTATTAAGTAGTAGGTATTTTTAGTAGTTTAAAATTATAAACGCACTAAGCTAATAAGTAATTTATTAATAAAAAGAATATTTAACATTCAAGGTCACTAACTACTGATAAATGCTAGTAAAAATAGTTTTGTTTAACTAGTTCGCCCAATAATTAAATTAATGCTATATTGATGATAATACACGATTTTATATTAATCCCGGTATATTAAGTTAATTTAATATATACAGGGTGTTTCAAAACAAATGCGAAAAACTTCAGGGGGTGATTCCTTGTTCAAAATAAAGGGTAGTTTGCTTCATAAACGTTGGGTCAAAAGTCAACCATTAGGGAGATATTGCGGTACAAAGATGGCGGAAAAATAATGTTTTTATTTTTTTATCTTTGAAAACGAAAGAGATAGACTAATAAAAATTTTATGGAAGCATTACTGTTATGAAAACACACACTTTTTGGTAATTTTTTCACTTTTTTAAAATGAGTGGAAGGAGTTGAAATAAACTACCCCTATCATTCTTGTTAACGAAATTTAAAGAAAAATCTTATCAAACACATACAAAAAATTAATTTGGATAGTTTAGTTTGTTTAGAAACTTTTTTATCTCTTGTATTTTTTTGATAAAACTCACCGATTTGAAATTAAAAAATAAAATGTAAAGCATTACATGCCAGGACAAAAAACATTTTCTGATAAAGAATCTAGTGGGCTGCTGTAATTTTTTTAGGAAAAAATCTAGTCGGTTGCTGTTACTTCTTAGGATGTTCCTAATATTATTTTATTTGACATTACTTTACTGCAATACGTTATTATCTAGATGATTATTATTATCGTTATTATCAGTAGATTCTTAATCTAAAAATGTTTTTTGTCCTGACATGTAATGCTTTACATTTTATTTTTTAATTTCAAATCGGTGAGTTTTATCAAAAAAAACACAAGAGATAAAAAGTTTCTAAACAAACTAAACTATCCAAATTAATTTTTGTATGTATTGATAAGATTTTTCTTTAAATTTCGTTAACAAGAATAATAAGGGGTAGTTTATTCAAACCCCTTCCATTTTTTTAAAAACTTAAAAACTTACCAGAAAGTGTGTTTTGATAACAGTAATGCTTCCATAAAATTTCATTAGTCTATCTCTTTTCGTTTTCATGATAAAAAATAAAAACATTATTTTTCCGCCATCTTTGTATCGCGATATCTCCCTAATGGTTGACTTTTGACCTAACGTTTATAAAGCAAACTACCCTTTATTTTGAACAAGGAATCACCCATAACGTTTTTCGACCTAAATACAAAATATTCCCATGGTGCCTGTCTGTCTGTCTATCTGTCTGTCTGTCCGTTTTAACACGATAACTCAAAAACCGCTGAACCGATTTTAACCAAATTTGGCCCAAAAATATTGTGGCACCCGAGAATCTGGCTGTTAGTTTTTGGTGGGGGTGGGGGGTTGGTAAGGGGGTATGGGAGGGGGTTAAAAATTTAAAAAAATCGTAACTCCAAAATTACAGTAGCTAGCGAAACGCGGTTTTCAAATTACGATTAGGAATAATATTTGCAACAAAATTTGTAATAACATCAAAATCACTCAAATTCGCAGTTTTCGAGATATTGACATATTTTAGTATGGGCGGCTATACGTGCCTCCCGGCGCCAATTTATTTATTTTTTCAGAGAGAAAAAAACGAGATTTGGTATGTTAGTACTTAAATGAACATATAAACCGAAAATGACCACAATTTTTTACTTTGAAATCAAAAGTATTTTCCATCCTCAATATTTTTGTATAATCTACAAAAATACTCTCTTAGAAAATGATATTCTAAATAGAATGCGATATATCATATATGTTAACTTTTGACATTAGCGCTTTCAAAATAGAGTCAGATATTTCAATCTAGCTGTGTTAAAACCACTAATTTTTAATCAAGGGAGCTTTGGAAAAATATATTTGATTGTCTTATGTTTTTTGTGACTTGTTCTAGCCGTTTGAAAGATGCCTATCGTATTTTTAATCATAACTCAATTTTTTCAATGGGAACGAGGCTCATTAGCATATTTGCAAAACCATTTTTTTTACAAATAATTTAGTACCACATACTATTTCGAGTCAAATTGTCATTATGAACACAGTCATTGCGTGTCATTGCATTTTAGATTGAAATTTAAAACACTATTTTTTACTTTGAATAAGAAGACTAAGGAAGGAGCATATCAAAAATCTTAGGTATACCGCGATGGGCCTCAAATATGGCCGACTTAAATTCCGGTTTATCAGTGTCGTTCTAATTTTATTTAAAAAATGTAAAACTATGATGTAGGGTAGACGTGGGGTAGACTCAATAATTTGTTGTTTTATTTTACGTTGTGAATAAATGTTGGTAGTTATTAAAAATGTTATAAAAATATATAATTCTAACAAAAATAGATAAGTTATAATAAGTATTTATTAACCAAACATCCGATACGCTACTGAAGCAGGTAAGTCAAATTAACGTATCTAAATTCTTTGACATCTGATCTTTGAGAAGTAATAAATAAAAGCTAAAATGCAAGAAAAATATATAATTTAGTTAATTTAAGTGAATTTCATAAATGATCGGTTTACTACACGTATGTATATTATATAGTCACTTACTAGCGAAAATTTGTTCCATTATTTCACTCAATTTTTGCCGAGATCTACCGCACGCTACACAACCAACTATTTTAGAGTCTTTTTCGATAAATCGCGATAGTGTCACTGTTAATTTAAGTTCTTCCACAATTTCCATCTAGATTTACTACCTTTATACAACTATCAGTAGTAGAATAAATAATAAATAACATAAAATAAGCTCCGTATAGACTGACAAATCCACAAATTTTCAAATCAAATTCAAATGTGTCAAATGAATCGTCAAACAGAACTGTCAAGGATCCCCACCCTAGAGTGCTTTTTCCGCCCACCATGCATGAATACATGGATAGCATTATGCTCCTTCCTTAGTCTTCTTATTCAAAGATTTTATATAAGCGAAAGTATCAAAAGTTGGCATATGATATGTCATTCTATTCAGAAAATGTCATTTTCTATCAAATAAAGTAAAAACTAACGAGGGTACCGTTTAAAAATCAAAAGTTGTAGTCATTTAGGGGCGGATCCAAGATTCGAGAAAGGGGGGGCTAGACTCAAAACTTTACTCAAAGCAGGGGCGGATACAGGAATTTATTTTAGGAGGGGCCCAAATAAAAAATATATATGTATAATGTAGAATATGCTTTTAGGACGCCCTTTTTGATCCCAAAAGCGTAATATTTAACCCAATTTATATATTTTAGGGGGACTGGGAGTCATAGCCCCCCTACCTTCTGTATCCGCCACTGACTTAATCTCGTTTTTTTTGTCTGAAAAAATAAAAAAGTTATAGGGGGTGAGCTATATACGTTATAAAACACCCGGTAGACTGGTACTGTTTTTATACAGTCTAACTTTTATTTAAAAAAATCCAAATTTGATTGATTTGGCACAAAAAACAATGTAATTTCAAAAATTATTTGTGTAAAAAAAATGTCCATAACTTAAAACTATATAAAAATAAAAGTAATACGCATCTCAGCATTTGAGAGGCAAGATCGGCCAAACTTTTAAACCAGGCTTAGCTTAAGCCGAGCTGGAATGGTGCAATCGATATTTCTAAATGTAAATTCATCATTTTAATCAGGAGAACATAATGCGTGAGGAGCGTCTGGAACTTAATCTTTGGTACGACCACGCACGAGATTTTTCCTTCAAGTCGCGGTTTGATTACGACGACCGCTCCATCTTTCTGTCTCCCTATCGCTTAGTGCCCACGATTGTGCTACAAATTATTACTAAATTTTACACCGGCATCGACTTTGCCGCGGGGAAAAAACGACTGTCGGGTTTTTAAAGTTTAAAATCGGACTCAGCTGATCGAAAAATCAATAAGTTTAAAACGAAAATTCAAATTTTCGATCGGGAGAACAGAATCTCGCGCAGATGTAGCTTAAGTTAAGTAAATGCCGCGACGCGCCGCGCCATGATTTTAAAATCTGTTACGGTGCTGCCTACAGGGTTGGGTTCTTATAAATAATTCCTTGCTATTGTAAATGTAATGTTACGTTTTTCGTCGGTTCCGTGTGGATAGAAAGTCACATTTTCTACCTAGTCACCAAGGAATGGTCCCCAAGTAAGCCGACTTATCTCAATCTATGGAAGACCCTGATTGAACTGAGAGAAGCCCTGCTAAACAACAATATTGCACGATTAGCCATTCCGAAGCTGGCGTGTGGACTCGATGGTTTGAGTTGGCGTACAATCCGGAACATGATTGAAGTCAGGTGGATGACACTTCTTATGGGAGAACTGGAAATGGTTGAAAACTTCACTACAAGCGATTTTCTAGGAATCTTCCTTACCGATAAATTATTGACAAGAGTGACAGATAAAACCTTGACATTCTTTCAGTATAACTGTTCATCTCTTTTTCTTTCTAAAGTGTGCGTTGAAAGGAGACAAAAACAATATTTTGCAACCCATAATTTGTTATTCGAACACCACTTTTCTCCTTGTCGGGTCGTTGAC